CACAAAAAGAAAGCGCTCGTTTGCAGCTCGTACGATCCTCCTGTCTGCACGCACCGGACCGTATTCTGCGTGGACTTTCTGTTTGTCCCGTGATTTTTCAACGTCCGTCTGGTTATCGTTTCCTTGAATGACGTCTATTGTCCTGACCGAGCAAATTCAACAAAGTAACGACCAACCTGAGGACGGGAATCATCGCTGACGCGGTTTGTTTAACCGTTTCGGTGAACGGTTTCCTTCGATGCGCGTTAAAAATGCGAAATATATAGTTTTATATATGTATATATTTGTTATAAATAAGTGTTACTTGTAAGATTGTAATGTTATAGGTGTGAATGTTTTGTATTACTTAGTACAAGTATGTTTTGCAAAAATTACACTGATAAGCTACGCGTTATTTGTGCTGTTGACATGACACGAGAGAATTGATTGCGCTTCTCCATATTCGAGTGGTTGATTACCTTCTAATTTCTTTGTCAACTATAATCGATACAGCTACTTTGTCATTGATAATTCGTTGGAAGAAGAGATAAATTCTAAGTACATGCTATTCTAAGATTAGAAAAGAATAATATTTCATTTGAATTTATAAAAGATATTTAGATTCTGTTGGAAACCTTCACCACGAGTCTGACACGTTATTAAAAGGCAAGCAGTTAATGTGACCTCAAGAGTACTACGATGAAACATAAATAGGCAGGGTCAAACAGGAGGTCTATGGGGAATGTGGGTATTTAATGTGGTAGAAACACGCATTTTCTGTTGACTGACTGCTTGATCAAAGTTACTGCAAATTGTTTTAATTAAATATTTGTTTAATTGATTAAGTAATTCTATTTCTTACAATACTCCTCTAGGGATATTAATTATTGATTATTTTAGAGCAAATCATTCTCTTTGAATTATTCACTTCATTTATGATGAATTTTCATTTATACAAGTATTTCATTCATATTTAATTAAATATTCAATTATTCCTTACTCGAATAATTCATCTTCGTATATTCAAATGATCGATATTCGTGTATTTAAGTGATTCATCATTATTTAGATGAATAAGTCATAATTCTCTATTCCAATAACTCATTCAAGATAATGGATCCTTCATCATCCTTATAAGCAATACTTATTCTTTTCAACTTTTCAAAACAAAAAATTTCTAAAGATAGCTCTAAAATGCATTTAAACATTAATCCCTTGCTTCATGATATCGTCTCAAAATGTCATTACTTTTCTATTATTAATCGATAACTTTCGAAGTAAACCTAGATACAAATACATTTCCAAATCCTTTCGTCCTGATAATAAATAATTATCAAAAATGTCGTTTCATCGAGTGCAGCTTGGAAAGAAATCACGGAATAACGGGTTAATGGATATCAAAATGAATTGTTTAATGTTATCCGTACGATGCCGTTTAAATGGGCACAGAGTAAATTAACCGAATCGTGTCAGCGTCGGTGTGCCAAGTAACCGGCGCGGAAATCTAACACGGCGAGAGGGAAACGCGGTGAATTGCGCGTGGAAACGTAACTCCTGCAACTCGCGATTTCCACATAGCGGTGCAGAGGTGTGAAGCAGCCCGTTTCGAACGTACCGGCCCGAAATGCCGAGCATAGTTGTCGCGATCAGATTTACAGCGTATTTTCCGCGATTATAGTAGACGCGGTATGCCGGCTCTTGAACAGCTGCGATCCGCGCCGATTTATTCGCGACCCCTTTTTTCCTTCGTGGCCAGGCTGGATTCACTACGCGCCACGAACTCGCATGAGCAATTTGGATGACGCTTGAACCGCCCGCATTTGTCATTCCGTATCTCTGTCGCGCTTGGCCACGATTTTTATGCTGTGTTCGATGCTGACTTGAAGTTGCCATCTTCAGTGTCGTTTCGATTATCTTCGTTCAATTAATAATTCATAATTTGTACAAATACGTAATTATATCGATATATACTTTCTTATTCTTAACTTAATTAACTCCCGCTTTAGTGTAACGCGTCTATTCAATAATGGTCGGGCAATGAATAGATATATGTACTTATAGTATTTTATATATTCTATATTAATATACTGTACTGTACGTATTTTTTAAGATACGTTGTTACATTATATCGCCCGTTGTCAATGTTTATTCTATTTTATTAGACAAATCGTGAGAGTATGCTTTGAACTGATATGAACAGCAATAAATCTTTTAAAATAGGAACAATTAATTAATTGGTTAGATTATACTTATAGAAAGTTTGCCTTCTGTATTCGAGAATATTAAGTTTAATGAAAATGTTGAGGTCCTTAAGGAAATTCCAATTGTCTGAGTATAGTTCGTCGATAGCTTTCGTGGCGTGTTGCATTTGTGAGGTAGGGGTAATTCCATAATCGATAGACGAGCAAATATTCGTACGTTATTGATCACCGATGCAATACATTTAATTGGAGAGCCGATAATTAGATGGCAAGTTAATGTAATGATACTCCAGGTCGAGAGAGTTGTAATTTTGGGACACGTACAATATTCCAATTATTTCACGGACAAAAGACACGCCGGTGTATTCGCGGCAAATACTATACAGTCTAAATTTGAAAACGCACAATTAACGAAACTTCGCCATTGGAATTAACGTTGCTACGAAGGCATTAATTGGATACGGAATTGATATAGCTCCGCCTCAATTATTGCAATAAACTTTGGGTTACATTTATTAAATTACTGTGGAACAAATACCGGCGGCAGCGTTCGTTTTATTAAACATTTGCCACTGTATACGTAACATTGTTCTTAGTCAATTAACCCACTGAAACACAATAACAATATTTATGTTTATTTTTAGATCGCAATAATTATTTTCATATTTTACTTTCATAATATGCGTTATATAATGCACATTTCTTCCATTAATTAAACAAGGAACTGAAAGAGGATTGCGCAATTTGCTTGGCTCTAGGAAATTTATTCTTAATGATTATGCGCTTCTACTTTAAACAGCATTAAAGGAATGCAGTTAATTAATACTCTCTCAAAGGTCGTCAAAGCCTATTGAAACATAATATTTCAATCAAGCAAAGAGCCAAGTTAATAAATTATCGACGAGATAGAGCGAATAGTTGTGTATCGTCGTAATTTGCGATATCAGTTTGGAAAGGATTACGATTGTTCAAGGGTATTTGAATTTCGACGATAATGAGCGAATGCCATTATTCCACTGCGAATTGCTCTAACGGATCAATTAACAATGATATTAATACACCGGAATTTATCATAAAAAATAGAGTTCGATATTCATTAAAAATTCCACATTTACTATAATGCTCAAATATTAATACCGAACATTAATATAGAATTTAATTTAATTTCAACACCGGAAAAAATGCATAATATTTGTATCCACTGAATTCACTTAAAAATCTTTATCACGAGTCAAATTCAATATCATCATGAGATTAACTCATATCCGATCACTAAATAACGACATCGACGTATCTCATAGAAGTTCGTTTGAAACAACCTTCTTAGGACGAAATTTGTACCAGCAAATGCTATAATCCAATGATAGTTTACGAAATTTGTTTGTTAAAATATTTTGTACCATAAATGAAACCGTAGTCGAACCTACAGAGTACAAAGGATTATTAATATGTTGATTATGAGTCCGCGTGTAGCCAAGCGTTATCGTCCGCAAGCAAGGTATCCTACTGCAAGGATTAATCAACCCTGCCACAAATTATCATCGGCGAATCGCAGTTTACGTTTCGCGGCTGCGTGTTGCGCTCGTTTGGAACACTCAAGCGAAAGCGGAAAATGAACTTTGCACTGGGCCCGGCGTAAAACGTTGAAAAGCATAACCCCGACGCGGGCGAAAAGGGTAACAGCAGCGGGTAAGGGGTCGACGGAGGCCGAAGGCGTAGTGCGGCGAAAGTTGCTCGCCGGGAAATATACACCGGCGCTTTTAGGGAAGTTCGGATTATCGGAAAAGCGGCTTCGAAATGCAAGTTGCTGCCAAGGCAAGGTATCCTCGTGAAAACTCAGCCGCGAAGTTGCTCCTCCGAGTCGATTCGGCCATTGGAGAGCGAGCGGCCGTGATAGTCGTTTTCCACGTAAAAGCCTGCCCCTGCTGAACAGGCTCTACCCGCGGCCAAACACACCGTGCCCTTGGTTACACATCGGCAACTTCCGGATTCCTCGAGTAGCCGGTGGATAGCGCAGCGGTTCGGTTTTCCTTTTTATTTTCCATCGATAGAGCCGATGAAACACCAGCCCCGTTGCGGGAGAAACTCGCTTGTTGGTCATGGCTCGCCGGAATACGCAGGGCGAATGTTAACGATGACTGTACCTCTTCGAAAGCTAGCTTTGTATATACAAAATGCAGCTCTAAATAGAAATGCCTAGGTACTTTCAACTAGAAAATTCTATTTTACGGAGTATGTGTGACAATAGAAAGGGTTTTCTCTCGGATCGTTGTAGCTTTTAAGGTATTAATGGAAGCAGCTTGCATTTCGTTGCGTAAATGTGTGTTGTGGCTGTGAAAATATTATTATATGTGCCAAACGGTGAACTACGTTTTTTCTCAACTTTATTATAATTTAATTTATATTTAATTTATATTTGATACATCGTTCCACGAAAAAGCGACGTTAGGTATCGGATAACAAGGAAAAGACGAAGAATTGTGAGGCAATCGATGGTTTTAATGTCAAAAAAAGAGTATTGAATTGAAAAATAAAGTAAAGAGAAAATAAATGGTTAGAGAATACAATAGCTTCTTGGAAGATTCAGAAATTTGTCAACTATCTACGGAAAGACTTCGAATTATTTAATTTTTATCCGTCCCCGACGGTATTCCTCGGCGTAGTCCATTACGTCATTAAAATTCATGTCGCGCTGGAATCGCGTATGCAAACGAGTAGACCGAGTCCGGTATTAGTAGGACCAAGTAAAGTATTCCTGTAAAATCCCGCGGCATTGTGCTGGTAACGATCACGGCCAATGAATAACTACCCGTGTTTCAGGCGTACGTTGATTTAGTGAAAGCCTGGGGCTGGAAGAGCTTTACCATCATCTACGAGAACAACGAAGGACTGGTGCGGCTGCAGGAACTCCTGAAGGCACACGGGCCCAGTGAATTCCCTATCACGGTCCGGCAACTCAGCGAGGGCTCCGAATACCGGTGAGTTTTCACCGCCTCGAAGCAAAAACGTTCAATAGTTTTAATTGCCGTCGCCCATTCAAAGTCTGATTTAATGAATTGTCACGCGTGACAAGAATGTTCACTTTAGGTGATTCGCTTCTTCAATTCTTCCATCCGGAATTCATTTTTAAATGTTTTCTTTCGCTGCACGTACCAACGAGAAGTTCGAGATTTACGTATATTGGTAGAAACACAATGTTTCTAACGTTTAAAAAGTACTCGAAATAGTTTTCTTTATTAATAAAGGCCCACAATGAAGCTTCTCAACTAAAATTACAGTTTTAAAATTAACAGAATATTACATAGGTACCTTAATTACTATAACGTATCAAAAGCTGAAAATTCTTGTGCTCGTGGAATTAATACTTTTCTAAAAATCGCGACAATACGAACGAAAATTAAGGTACACTTTGAATTGAATGTTTTAACTCCATAATTCCGTATCTCTGACGATCGTTGCGAGGATATAGATAACGCCAGTATCCGGGACGTTCCCTCGAATTTTCCAACGACATTTTCGAGATATTTTGCACGGGCAACATCTCCGGAGCTTCTTATTACACAAGACGTTTCAGTTTCAACTGGCGGCGGCCAAATCCCGTAAAGCGCAGACGGAGCTCTCCGGTAGACGGAATTCACGATTAAGCGACTGCCTTGTAATTAACGCGGAATTGCGAGTCGAGGTTTTTGTCCGGCTAGACGGCGGACCGTAAACCTTGGAAGTTTCAGTCTCCTTTAATTGCACGGATGATAAGGGAATCGGGTGTTTCTTTTCCCGCGGGCTAATCCTCTTAAGTTACGGTCGCCCGCCGCTCGAACGGGAAACACATTTTTCGCGGTCCGTAATAAGATTTAAATTTCCCGCTAATACCACGCACGCCGGCGATTACGTAATCGTGGCTTGCCCCACGAGCGAACAGAATTAACTGCTTAACGACCGTAATCGCATAGTTAAAACTTCGCCACTTCCTGTGAACTTAGATTTAAAAAAGGTAACATTCCCTCTTACTTCCTTTATTCGATCAGATAATACATTCCAAAGAACTGTTCTAAATAATATATTCCCCAGTGCCACAGTATGGTACAAAGAATGTTACAGTGCTTTAAGGATAGATAATATTCTCCAGGAAAGCGAGAAACATTCTATAACAGGTTATTAAGACTAGTCAATTTTCCTCTATTTTAATCGAAGCAATTACCAATTACCAATAACTAAATTCCTCTAATTTCTAATTCCCAAAATCTAAATCGATGAACACCAGTTTTTCTAGGATCAATAGAATAAACTACAATAAATGTTCATAAACCTATGTTAACTACTAAAATTGAAAAAGAGTCGTTTCAATCGTTACAATGGTCTAGAGCACCGTGTGTTGTGACAGAAGCAAAAAACGACTAAGGTTGCTTTAAATTTGATTGCGCGCCAATGGAGATTCATTCCTCCGTCTAGTCAAAGGTAAAGACGTTTGTTTGTTTCTGCACAGCGCCGGCGACGCGTCATCGTTCCCAGGGTTTTTCACGCTCCGCGGCGAATCCATTATTGCCGATTACTTTGGCCACTTTAAATCCTGCTGGGCGTGATAAATGAGATCGATTTGAACGCCTGCGTTTCCCCCGGTCCCCGTGAATTTAATCGAATTACCATTCGATTTCGATTGTGCTCTATTTGCCCCGTTGATGCGCGCGTCCACTGCAAAACCCAACCTCGCCGTTTGATCGAGACGCGATCCCGTCCTGTCGGTGATTTTCAGGTTTATCCGAACGTCTTTGTGATTTTCGAGTTAATTAGAAGCGAGCCATTGGCTCCGCGAGCACTGTCATACGCAATACACAGGGCAAGCCCGATAAATCACGCCGTAATTGCCGCGAATTGTTCCGGTGTTATACGCTGGACCAATGGAATTTTGTGTTGCGCCGTGCAGTACAGTTCAAATGGGACTTTAAAATGATCGCGAAACTTTTTATTGGTGTTTTTATTGTTCTCTCAATTTTCGAAATTGGATTCAGTATTTCGTTGGTAACATTATTTTGTTACACTTCTACGAAAACAGGCCTAAAGAAAGACAGCCTAAGAATTATTATACTTCGTCTCATTCTTATAATATCAAACATTTTGTTTTAACATAAACATTTTTCATTAGAAAATCTTTTACGCATATCATCCGTTATGAACATTCCGTAATTTATAAGTATGTAACGATCTACATATTTCGAATTGAGATTCCAATAATCCAGAATATACTTATAATGTTGTACTTGTACCTCTTCCACGGACGCGCACACGAGTATAAAATTCGATGTAATGGTAGCAGAAATTGTTCGTGATTCTCTCGGAAACTAAATGCCAGCAGGATTTTCTTCAAAGGGAAAAGTTGTTTGAAGTGTACAATTCCTGCAATATTTAACGGTTTCATTAAAACCGGTGGGCATCTGACAAAGTATTACCGTAATAAGTATTCCGTCACGCGTACTTTTATATTTCAATTGTGTTCGGCGTAATTGCAATACGCAGAAGCTTTTAACAGATCTTAAAGCGGTTACGCGAACGCCTACCAACATTCCGAAGCGACGTGAATTTCTGTCATTTGCGAACCACCGGGAGCGACACGTTCTTGCAAATTTTATTCCACCTATTATTCACGCGGCTAAGTTTCAAGAAGTACTATTAACTTAACCAGATCCGCGTAAAAGCGCTATTAACTTTAAAACTCGGCCCCCTCGTAAGCGGCGACGCGGCAGGAACGTCTAGGCGTCGCGTCGCATCGCGTCGAGTCAAGTCGTTCAGTTCGTCCAGAATTTTCGTCGAACGGTACCAGCCGCGGAAAAGTTGACCGATAAAACTGGCTGCATCCGGACGATCCATCAAGATCACTCGCAAAATGCAGTCAATCTATCAGATGTCAGGGAACATAACTGCCTCCGAAAATACGGATTCTAACAAGCGCGATCGTACAACGTTTTGCTCTTCGCTCCTCATAACTCTTAACAGAATCATGTCTACGCTTTTCTCGCATCAGGCTCGAGAATTCAATCGATCAGCTCCACGCGGAACTGTGCGTCGGTGCTGCCGTTTCGTTCCAGAGCGAAGTATAAAACGTTCACTGTCAAACACGTTAACACGCTTATCGCGGAGTGAACGGATCCCAAAGAATAAGATAAGTGTATTAGAAAATTTCACGGTCGCGAAGTTCGATTACAATGGAATGTGATATGCGGCTGCGAAATGTATAAATGTTGAAACACGGAGTAACTGTTGCTATATTGCGCGCATTCACGCGTACGTAGGATGAACGTTCCTCGAGTGCAGCTAATGTGTACAGGGGAGTCTGAGAGTTTTTGAGAGCTCGTGGGTTTAGGGTCAAAGTTTCAGAGTCAGCGATTAAAGAGTGATTAGCTGGTGAGTTTAGAGGGGAGAAACTGGAGTTAAAGCGGAGAATTAACAGGTTTAGACCATTTAGTCGGAGTTTTGGTAATGGATTATGTGAGAAAATAGTTATTAGAACTCCGGGTAACTTGTTAATTTCAGCTTGATCTTTAAAACGGGAATATACGGAAATTTCTATACATTATCCGATACAATAGAAACTTTGGAAGTCTTGCGATTAATTAATTATTCACTTTATCTTTACTAACGCTCGATACATTTTTCGAACAGTTCAAAATCCTTTGTATTTCCATTTTCAACTCACCGTTACGGCATTTTATACTTGTATCTAAATCATGAAACTCTGTACAATACAAAAATTTTACAAATATTTAGATGTATAACGATCAATCAAATTCGATACACTTTTATTCTTAACCATTAAAAAATAATTGGAGCGTGTACATGGTATAATAGAACGTTACTGAACGAAGTTCTGACTAAAAATACGCACTGCGGAAATAGTTTACAACGTCAAGGTACCGGAAATTGCAATTCATTTCCGGACAACCCAGCAAAACCCGACTGGAGTTTCTCGATGGCTGGACATTCGAAGCTACAATTACGGAAGCGGCTCGGTGATGCCTCGAAAATTCACCGTCGCCGATGATCGATGTTGTTGCGTCAGCCAGCATAATGCAACATCGGGACTAGTCACGATCGATGCCGCCCCGCAGTCGGAGAACACACCATCACGAATTAAACGGGACTCTCTCGTCAGCAGCCAAAGCCACAATGATCTTCTTACGCGTGCACAGTGTGAGTGACGTATCGATCGCGGCTGGAAAGTATGTCAACTGCGTTTCACGCGGTCGAATAGAACGGAATCTTCGACGTTGCACCGCGGCGTGTCACGCCGTAGGTCCAGACCCCAATTTTTAACCCCTTGCTTTATAATAATTATAATGTTATGGCTTTTCTAAAGATTTCAAACAGTATTTAGCAAGTATAAGCATTTAAATGTTATTCAATTTTCTCGAGTTGAAATTAAATGTCTTTCTGTTGTCAATTGATAATATTTGTATTAAACATAGAGGTAAGACGAGCAGACAATTCTTTCCTTTGTTTAGAGAATTATTGATGATAAAGTTGATCTAACGAATGCAGTCGCTGAAGATATTATAAGGCGAGGGGTAAATTATTTGTCTGATTTTGGGGGTGGTTATCCTGCTCTAGTAAATTTCAATATCTTTAGAAAGAAGATTTCATATTCGAAAAGAAGAAATTGCTATCACATCTCGTCCACCTGAATTGTCTGATTCGAAAACGTATATTTTCCAAGTGAGATGAGAAGCTTTTAGAAAGCATTTAGGATAGTTCATAAATCCATGTAGCTTTCCTTCTTTGTTCAATGTAAGTTACAATCTTTACATATACTTTATACTCTCCGTTACTCGATATATTTCCCTTCCTTTCGTAACGTTACTGCGTACCTTCACGAATAGACAGCGAGTGATCAGCAAAGTGTTAAGAGAACGACACGTATCTATGTTCCCTCGTATTCGCTGCGTCCCTGCGTTGTCTTGTCCGTACTCACGCGCGAAAATAAGTTTCC